ACCCCTAAACCCCTAAACCCATTTTATTCCCTTTCAACTCCCAGCCCATGCCTCAGCCGGCTTGACACCGACCTGACTCCACTGTTGCCGCACGCTTCGGGTTTAGGGCTTAAGGGTTTAGGGGTTTAGGGGTTAGGGGTTTAGGGGTTTAGGGGTTTAGGGTTTAGGGGTTTAGGGGTTTAGGGGTTTAGGGCTTAAGGCTCGGGACTAGGAGGGTATGGGATATGGGGATCTGCTTCTGGTCCTATAGCAATCAAAAAAGACCTTGCGATCCGTCGAGTTTCCATCTGCTCTAGGATGACTGAAGACCTGATCCAACAAAGCGCGACCCCAAAACCCTGAACCCTAAACCTGAAGCCCCCGCACCCTCTCACATTCTTTAACTTTCGCAAGTCCTGGGAGCCAGACTCTCATTGTGGCCACCATGTCCTCATTGCAACCGCACTCTCACCAGAGCGCATCTGCTCGTTCTACTCACTTATCAGGGCCTTGGGGATTACATGGTGGGTCAGGGCTTTGCGGCTTGGAGGTTGCTTTTTGCTTTGGCGCTTGGAGTTGATACGTGGAGGGAGTTGGGTATCCATGCCAAAGGCACAAAAACTTGGCCTGAACCCCATTTTGCCTACAGCTCAGCGGCTTCTGACTCCTAAACTGCAGGCCTTTAGGCTTAAAGCCTCACACGCATATACACACACACAATCCTTCTGAATCGGTATGGACTTGTCGTAAATCTTCGGAGATTCTTTGGCAGTCATCGCTGTCATATGTGCAAAGGCTTTAGGCTATAGGGATGCCTGGGTAATTTGGGCAGATTAGTCGGGGGAATTGGTTTTCCATGGTTTTCACAACCCGCAAAATCAGGACGCTATGACTGTCATATGTCATATGACTCCTGTAGCCTCCTCGCTATAAGGGTTGGGCTAGCAAGATCCGTTTATTACATGCAGCATCGGAAGCTGCAGCAAGTGCTTAGGCATAGCTTTCAACGCCAGGGTTTAGCGCTTACATGCTGGATGGAATGGAAAAGATATGAAAAGATGATATAATCTACTACAGGTTTAAGGTTAGAACCATGCAAGTGAAATGGAAACTGCCTTATGATTTCTGGTGTAGATTTCAAGCTTATTCATGAGCTTCAAGCCCACGCAGCTTTTGACAGTGCACATGTAAGGGCAGCAATACTTCTGAGCCCTCCAACCCCAAGGATTTGAGTGTGGCGCGCTGTGCCTGGGTTGTGTAAATTCTTGAGCTTCGGGCATAGGTGCCCAAGGTCTACAAGCATGGAGCCACAGCCTAGACTTAAGGGTTTGGGATTCAAGGTTGCGTTTTTGGGTGCAGGGGTCTAAGGATATGGCTTCAGGGTGTCAATCCTGCTAAAGTATGTAGAAGACTCATGGGTGCCCCCCCCAACCAGGGAATGCCCCCAACAACTTCCCGTCCCTGCTGCTAGTGCAGGGGGGGCAATGATTCAAATGGGGTTTTGGGGGTAGGGACTTAAAAGGCACACGGTATCATCTCGGTTTATGATAATTGTGCTTCTTGCGGTGAACACTTCAAGCGTTGCTGCAAAACGGTCCTATTGTTCCCAAGTAATGCAGAACAAGCGTCGCAAAACTCCTCCATCTCTAGTTCGCCGTTGCCATCTCTGTCAAACTTCTTGAAAAGCTTGGGCATGTCGTCTGCGCGCATTGGTGGTCAAGAACGATAAGTTTTTGGTGTGGGGTGCAACCGCATCCTAAAGAATAGCTCGGCTTTACGCCGCGAGGTGCACTTTGAATGTTGACTTATTGGGGTAATGGAGAAGAAAATGGAAGCTACCTTCTTATAGGGTTATATAGGGTTTATATTGCAGATATGTTGGGAGAATGGAAAAGACAATGGAAGCTACAACATTATCATAGGGCGGCCCGTGCTAGGCCCGTCAACTTGATGTCTCTCAGGTTTAGGGATTAGGGTTTAAGGTTTGAGGGTTTACGGTTTGGTGGTTAAGGGGTTTAAGGGTTTAAGGGTTTAGGGTTGGAGGGTTAAGGGTTAAGGGTTTACGGTGACACTCCCGAACGGTCAGCCCGAACCCCTCATGGAGGAGTATACAGGCAGTGTAGGGGCATTTCTCAAACTAATCCCTAGATGATCCCCCGAAAGACCCCATAATGCCTGAATCATCCTTATTGCCGGCAACCCTTCTTTTTGGCCCTGAAGAACTGGAAGCTAAGATTCCACACAATGGGCATTTCCTTACCTGGCAGCTTTGATATTGAGGCTCTGAGGACATCATGGCATCGGCATCTCAATGCCAGCCTCTTACGCCTACAGTATTTATACGACGTTCCAATCCTAAACGGTGCATGACAAAAACTGAGACCACAACCTTGTGATCCTTGGTCGTACACACGCGACTGCTCAACAACATGCCCAACTCTCTCGTATTATCCACTGAATCGTAAATGCTGGCCCGTAAATCCTACACCCAATCTGCCAGACTTGATGCGCATGATCATAAGCATGCCAGTGCCATGGCCTCACATGATAAGCAGATTTTGCTTGCGTAAAACCCAGAAAAAAGAACCTCATTCTAGCCATATCCTAAGTATAAGGTTCAACCTTTGGGGGTTAAGGTAGCCAACATCCCCTAGTTACCATAGACCAGGGGCTTATTCATTGGGAGCTCCCTTAACCTTCGACCCCACACCCCAAACTCAGAAACCTAAACCCTGAACCCTAAACCAGGAACCCTAACCCCCTAACCTAACCCCTTACCCGAAATCTTGATCCATAAACCCTAAATCCTGAACCCTAAACCCTAAATCCTGAACCCTAACCCCCTTACCCTAACCCCACACCCTAACTCCTGAACCCTAAACCCTGAATCCTGAACCCAAAACCCCAAACTCTAAGCGTGCGCCTGCAGAGTAGCCCAAGTGCTTTAAGCGTCGACGGGTCTGCGTCATCCTCAGAACTTCTCACAATGGGGGCTACTTATTGGGGATTGGGGTTTGAGTTTAGGGCTTTGGGTTTAGGGTTGAGGGATTGGGGTTTAGGGATGAGGGTTTAGGGTTGAGGGATTGGGGTTTAGGAATTACGGCTTATGGGATAGGGTTTAGGGATTAGGGTTTAGGGGTTCGGGTTTAGGGTTCAGAGTTGGGGGCTTAGTGGTTAGGGTTTAGGGATTAGGGCTTAGGGATTCGGGTTTGGGGTTCAGGTTTGGGGCTCAGGGTTTGGGGCTTAGGCGTTAGGAGGGCATAAGTCTTAACTCTCAAGAACGGGGGCTGGCATTTAGGATCTAGGGTTGAGGCTGTCGTAGGGTTTAGGGTCTAGGGGTTACGGAATTTGGGGTAGAGTTGTCCCGACCCTACCCTGTCGAAATCCATGGAGTCTCGGGGAATATACTCAGACTCCGCTGAAGGCTTATACGCTCCCGGTTTGGGGAAACGGGGTCTAGCGTGTGGTCCTTAGAAAGCTCCACTGGAGGCTGATCACCAGCACTAAACCCTAAACCATAAAGCCAGATGTCAGGATTCTAGGCTCCCTAAGGAGCTCTCTTGCGGTAAACTGTTACCCTCTCTCACGAAGATGGACGTCCAAAAATTTTAGGGTTGAGGGTCTTGGGGTTTGGGACACCCAGAAACTCAGCAAGCAGTGGTATATAGAGGCGGCGATGGTCACACCTACAACAGGTATGTTCGAGGAAATTCCACAGGTATTCATGCCTTCTTTTACCCAATGCCGCAAACCTCAAATACCCAGACCCTAAACGTACAGCGATTTTCATGTTCTTGTCCTGTCCTTGCTTCCCCACTAACCACCTGAACCCCAAAAATATCCAGCTACCATGGCATTTTCCATTCGCTTGTCTGTCTGACTTCCCAATCCCGACACCCTAGACTGCCACCTGGCAAGGTGCAGCAGGATTCGGTGCCTGTCATCCCACGTCTTTGACATTGCGTTGCCCAGGACCTGGGCAGTGTGGGAATAGGGTTGAGGGTTAAGGTAGAGGGTATGTATGGGGTCAGGGTAGTGGGCCCAGGGTTCAGGGTATAGGGCATAAGGTAACTAGGGTAACAGGTTTAAGTTTCAGGGCTTGCGACTTGATAGGAGATATGGGCTAATAATGTCGTACAAGGCTTCCAGCCTCTCCGGTATCCAAGAACATGGTTCGAATAAATTTCATAGATTCCCCCTGCATAGGGGTATGGCTTTCCTGTCAGTTGCGAACATCAGAAGAGTTCTAAAGAAAATGGTTAAGGTCGGCTACTCACATGTCTTTAGGCCTTGCTCGATGCACGCACTACGAAACTCTGGAAGGGTGTCAAGAGCTTTTGGTAAAGGTCTTAGGAACAGGCCACTTGGGTCCTGCCCCCACCCAATAACATTCTATCATAGGGGTCATATTAAGGGATCTATACACTTATCTTATTCCAACTGTTAATGAGTGGGGGGGAGGGGGGCAATATCCAACGGACAACTCACACATGATCAACCTACCCCGTGACAACCTAAGCTTCAGGCTCTGTGAGTTCAGCTAGATGTCCAAGAAGCACAAGGATCTGCAGCTTGCACTTTTATGTAGAAGCCTATTTCATTACCAATGTTTTTGTCCCAGATTCTGGTATAGTTGTGGTACAAGGTCTCACAAATATACCTCAGAATGATATTGGTAATGATTTACCCCCCCTACAGTTTACCCAACCAAAGCTCCCCGGTAGGGCAGCGAGCCTACACTAAGGTCCAGGCTTGCCAGTGCTTCCCTGGCGCCCAGGGAGGGAATACACCCTAAACCCTATACCCTTATCGCAGGAGTATAGGTGCCATTGTTGGGGATTAATGTAAGGGCCCAAACCCTGCACTCCCTCTAGTCCTAAGCCCAAAAAAAAACCCAAAACTGCAAGTTTAGGGCTTAGGGCTTCAGAGAGCGAAGTGCCAACAAAGCGGCAGAAAGAGGCATCGCCATAAAAAGCACACTGATGAGACACAAGATTCCAGCCATCACCTGCACCACTGACTGGTGGGTGAGTAAGGTTTAGGATTCAGGTTTAAGGGTTTACAGTTCAGGGTTTAGGACTGAGGGTTTAAGGTCTAGGGTTTGGGTTTAAGCTTTGAGGTTCACAATCTTTAGGCTTCACAGCTTCCATTTCCCCCAACTCACATGGAACCCCACCAAAAGCCCTATCAAGATCACTGTCCTCTAAACGGGGCCTATGTGGTGGTTTCCGAAATTTCGGGGTACCATTTTGGGGCCCCATACATAAGAAGGATCATGATACTGTAGGGTCCTCATTGAGGTTCCCTATTTGTGCAAACTACTGTACCATATGAGGTTCCATGGTAGATCTACAAAGTTGCGGATGGTTTGTAGTGAGTCCATACCTGCCACCCCCCAATACATCATATGATCCCAACTTCGGGGCCAACAAAGGTCGAGGGTTTAGGGTTCATGGAGCCTCCTACACATGGCCACCCCCTTGAAGAAAAAACTCCCTCTTCGCGGAGCCAGCCATCTGCGTTAAATCGCAAACCAAACCCTGAAGCCTTGCCTGTGGGGTCCAAAGCTTCAAGGCCTCTGAGGCCTTAATGAACCGCAACAAACCACGAGCCGCATGCCCTCAAGATCCGGAAACCGTAAACCATGAAACCCGAAAGCCGAACCGTATCTATCCTCATCATCCCTTTTAAAGGGATCTTCTAAGGGTACCCCTTTTAAAGCCCCGAAGCCCCGAAAGTCTCACATCCGCATCAGCCTTCCCGGGCCATGTCACAGGAGCCATGTCGCCTTGCCGCATGAAAAGCTCAGGGTCGGAGGCTTAGGGTTTGGGATTTAGGGTGCACGGTTGAGGGCTTCCATGGCACGAGATTAGGTGGGTTTTTCCCTGAACAATAAACCCTAACCCGCAAGCCTTGTAGCAGTTGGGGTTAGGGCTTAGGGCTCAGGGTTCTGCTTCGGCTTCAGGGTTTAGGGCTTGGGTGAGGGCCTAAGGTTGGGGTTTACGGGATTTATGCCAGTGGAGGAATTAGGGTTTGAGGCTAACAGGACGGGTGTGTGGGCTTTCTCGGAATTTTGAAATAACAGGACTATGTAAATGTAAGGCACGAAAATCCGCCTCCTTTTTGATGTGCACTGTTGCAGCGAAGCAGTTGGTGGTTTGCGGCAGCAGAAGAAAGAGTTCTCAACCCTGAACCCTACAGCCTAAACCCTAAACCCAAACTTAAATCTGCTACATAACACACGCACCCAAACAATTTAGCGTTTCAGGCGTTCAAACAAAGCCTCCGGAACAGCCAAACCCGTTAACTGAACCCTATCTGTCTCTCGGATCCTATGGAGCAGATGAAACCATCCAACCTAACACTTACACCCTTAAAAGAAGCCCAGGCGCATGTTCCCACGGTGGTTACCTGGCTATCTCAAACTCCGGGATCTAAGACTTGATAAGCCGCATGCCCTAATAGTTCTCCAAGCTTGCGGCCTGTAATGAGGACCATGCGAGTGACAGATTAATACGTATGTTGGTATGATCTGGGTAGTTTAAGGGTTTGTCATGTGGGCAAAGAGATAAATCTCGTCGCAGGTAGCCTTTCTTCTAGTCGGATCTGAAGTACAACAATTCCGGCAAACAAATGGTTTGTCAAAAAATGCAGGATTGTTTGGCAGGTCCTTTCAAAGAAAAGGGGCTGAAAGCTGTTGCGGGACACGAAAAGAACCTTTAAAACTCCACACCCTAAGCGCTCAACGCCACAGGCAGGATACGGTCACCGTGCACCAGTAGATGTATGTTGGCAGCGTGGTTGTATCCGCAGGCTCGAGCATGTAGAGCATCGTACCAAAGAACAGCACCTGGGCAAGATTCTCACATTGTAGCAAAGATGACAATCAAACGAATAACCGCAACTAAAGTAACAAAGATTGCGAGGAAATCTTGCATGACCTGTGGTCCCCACACCACTGCAATCCCTAGAACTTAAGGCACCTCAGGCGGTGCAGATTTTTCCAGTGCCACTGTGATAAGAGGGGACAATAATGATATGTAGGGATTATCGCGGTCCCTACTAGGGATAAAGACGCGTTATAGCAGGATTCTTTCAGGGGCCCACTACTCCCCTCCCCGTCAAAGAACAGAGTAGAAAAGGTTGTTTTTTCCAGCGTATGCGGATCCCCCCCCCCCAAAAGTGCCAAGGCAACATGAGCTTTTTAGAACGTTGCAAGTTGAAAGTTCCCAGATTTCTGGGGAAGCCTTCCGTTCAAGGAACTCACCATGAACGGATTTGGCGTGGTTGGTGTGGGCAGAACTTCTGACACAACAGGGGTTTGGGGCTCGGAGCTTTCTGTTTATAGTCTCTACATGGACTTGCGGCCAGAGTTCAATCAAGCAAACGAGGAAGAGAAGAAGCTTGAGAGCGTCCAGCGTGGTAGACAACACATGCCTGGTGTTGAGGGTTTCGGGTTCAGGGTTCGGGTTCAGGGTTTAGGGTTTAGGCTTCAGGGTTTAGGTTTTATGGTATAAGGAGTTTGGGGTCGTTCGTCGGGGGGTCATTGTCTAGGGCTCACTAACATTGAAATGAGCTAGACATTTGGGTAGAAAGTTCAATAGAGAAATTCCAGCATGAGCGGAGCTCATGATCAAAATAGAGTCTATCTCCCCGCCCCAAAAACAGCTGAAAGGAGAAAAATGATACCCCAAAGGACACAAAAACGTGGTTACAAAGGAACCCGATGCGGATTTCAATGCCGGTTTATGCCTGATCCTAAACCTGAAGCTCGACACCTGAGGCCCCAAAGCCTACACGCAATGGAGCCTACGGCTAGGCACGAGAGGTTCGGGACTTTGGTAAGGCTCAGGGCTTATCAGTTGAGTAAGATTATATTCTTTATATGAAATACTATACCCCAAAAGGAGGATATAATCTTACTCTATATTGGGTACCATAGTATTCACGGACGTCAGTCGGTCATGCGAATCAGGCGTTGAGCACTTTGGCTCCTCCAATAGTAAATAGTCTAGAGTAGTTAAAGGCAGGCAACAATGGCAGCAAGATCATCAATGATCTTTTGACAGGAGTGGAGCTTCTCAAGCAGTATGCTGTGTGAGTGAAGTTGTGCATGGGGACAGGAGCGATGAACTGTGTCCGGAGATTGGACAAAATTCAGCATTGTGGAGCACGAAGAGCAAATTGGTATGTCTTCTGACCAACATACCTCAGGCAAATGGGGTAAAAGGCAGGGATCAGAAGCCTCAAGATGCTTGCCAATGGAGCGCAGAACAGAAGCGAAGAACTTGTGTTGGCACACAAATTGGCGCTTGGTGGACTTGGGAGGCGAGACATGGTTTTTGATGTCAGCTGCATTTAATCGAGTCCAGAAGGACATAGGCTAGATCTCACCGTTGTGTAATCAGAAATGTTCAAGGCGGACTTTTCCCATCTAAGAGGTCTGGATTTGTGTCTACGTCTTCCAGTCCACAAGGGGCTGAGGAAGTCAGCCCTGAGGGGGGAATGGTCAAGATCGGGAAAAAGGGACAAAATTGTGCAACATCGAGAAGGTGATTGGGTACCATAGAATCCCCAAATAAAATACCACTCAGTTAGGGATTAGGGCTTACCGACAAGCCCTAGCCCTCAATCTCATGACCGCCTGACCCCTAAAGCACAAACTCTGAACCCAAAACCCTAAGCCCTAAAACCCTAAGCCCTAAAACCCTCAACACGTCCCTGCCTACCATCACCCCCTCCAATGGTGGGTGGTCCAATCCAGCCCAACCATTTTACATGAAATTCCAGCCTCATTGCAGGCATCTCTCGTCCAAAACCACCTTTTTCACACACACCCCTTCCCTCTCCCCCTCCCCCCCTCCCCACCCCAAATCCCCCACCCTAAGCCAGACAGGCCAGGTCACAGAAGAAGCTGCAGCTTTTGGAACCGCCGAATAAGTTTTAGCTGGCGCACCACCTAAGGTTCGGGGTTTTAGAGTTTAGGGTTTAGGGTTTAGGGGTTTAGGGTTTAGGGGTTTAGGATTTAGGGGTTTAGGGTTTAGGGGTTTGATTCGGGGTTTGCAGCTTAGGGCGTTAGGCATTCGAGTTCATGGTTTGCAGGTTGGGGTTGGGGATTCTGACTTAGGGTTTATAGCTCTGCTTGCCTCTTGTCTGTAGGGAATGGAGGAAAAGCCTCATAAGAATCCCTGCGACGATCCCAAGTCAAGAAGAACATATTAATATGTGGTTCCGAAGATGAGAAAGACTCTGATAGAACTGACCTGAATAATATTGAAGCCGTATTACATTTAGGGCTTGGGTGTATGATTTCGGGTTTCGGACTTCTGTCCGATGCTTCGGGTCCAAGGTTTTAAGGCCCTGAGAACCCTAAACTTTCTGAAGCCTGAAGCCTTCGAGCCTTACCATCTCATTGTCCCAACTTTCTAAGGCTTGAAGTATCGGGCCCCCAATATGGGCCCTTAGGCTTTTAAGGGGGATTCTGGGGACCCTTAAAGGTACATGTAGGCGATATAGTAGCTATATGAGCCTCCCGGGCTTAAGAGCCCATACTAGATGCAACCTGAGAAAGTTGCAATTAAGGAAGAGATTCACTTTAGGAGAGGCAGCTGGACAGCTTAGGGGGCCAGAATAACGTGGTTGTTGTTCTTTCTTTGCTTGGGTAAGCTTGCATTGCATGAAATGTGACTGTTTGCCGAAGACTTGCCCAGCTCCAACTTGGGTATGTGGAGTGCCAGCATCAAAACTAGTGGATTGGTCTTTGCCTCCCGAACGCCAAAAGCTTAACCCTAACCCCAGGGGCGTTGGGTAGGGGGTGTAGATGCAGGGGGACGCAAAACCACTGGTTTGGCTGCATGCTTCAGATGTTGCAGTCCACCCGTGAAACCCTACACCCCGAACTCCAGATAATGTCGGGGCCGACAGAAGCAGAGTAGGTTGATGGGGTATATTTGGCTATTACTTTTCAAGTACCGTTCATATGAGTGACCTTGACAACTTTCAGGCTTCTACAGTACATCTCCAAATCGCAAATCAATTGGAAATCCTCCCTTTCTCCTGTCCTCTTGCTTTCCCAGGGGCCGGGACATAACAGACGAGCAAAGAATGCCTCGGGTTCTGCATGGGCTTCTTCTACCCTAGGCCCTAGACTTTAGCTTTTGAGGTTTGAGACTTCAGGTTTAGGGTCCAGATAGTAGTGGAGCTATCGTGCAGAAGCGGTGGCTTTAGGACAGCTTTGAATCACAAGTAGCAGGTCTCATCACAACCTTCTCCCACCCCAAGCCATCTAAGGAGCCACACCACCCAAGTGTCTTGAAAGGGACGTGGAGGGCTGGAAACCCAACCCCCAACGATTTGGAGTCCATCATCATACTCATATGAGTAGTGTTTTGGTGGTTGAACTTAGTAAGATAATGTTCCTTATAGAAAATCTCTATATTGGGTACCACAGTATCCCCAAACAAACTACTCATACGAGAACCTAATTGGCAGAATTGGAATTACCAAGCCCCTCTTTCTCTTAGGGCTCAAGGCTAACCCCATGTTTCATCACTTCCTGCAATCCAGAACACTCAACCAAAACAATCAGAAACCTGCGCAGACGGCTGCTGAGAAGGGCTTGAGGGTTTAGGGCTATATAGGTATTATATAGGGATAATGGAAATGAAAATGGAAAAGTTCCACGAGATGTAGAAATTCAAGGAACTTAGCATGGAACTGGGAGACTTATGGACCGGGGCACTCGCATCAAGATCTAGGATCAAGAGCCATGAAAGATGTTGCAGCAAACATAATATGTAGTCTAGAGCAAACGCGGACTCATTTCAAGTGCAGGAGAACCTTGCTTTGGGTTGACGTACATCCTGAATATCCCATCTACCGCCGAGGGTTCAAGGTTCAAGGTCTCAAACTACAGTTACATCCGACTCCCACAAACTCAAACGCTGATACCAGAACGTTGCAAAGGGAGAACTCGAAAGAATAGAACAGTTGGTATGCTTCAGTTACCACATCATACTCTATGCCCTTAACGCACTTAACCACAAAATTTCCTGATGATTTCCTGAATCCCACACCACAAAACTACTTCGATTTCTGGCCGGGCTTCGCCACTAAGTTGTCTGCAGCGGTGGGTATCCGCATTTGGTAGGCAGCTCGCACGCCAAGCGGGATCAGCGCTGCGAAGTCGATGAAGTTGTACGGATTCTTGCAGAAAGCCTTGGTTGAGGGCTTAGGATTTGGTGTGGGGATTACGCGGGGATTATATAGGGCACATCGGGATTATGTAGCGGCTATATATAAGGATTAAATGGGGGGGGGTTCTGAAACTCATGGGCCGTTTCAGGGGTGCCTATATCAAAGACTATGACTATGACGATTTTGGGAGGATTCTTGGCGAAACCCTCGCTTTCAGGAAGTCTGGGTTTGTAGGGCTGCTTCAATGCAGGGTGGTTTGAGGTACGCTACATACCTTACGGCCTAGGAATGTCAGTATACTGAACCGAAGGACTGCAAGCTTTCTTCCATCCACTGTAGTACTTCTTGAAGAAAGCCTGGTTTGTGGTGGGCTCAAGTCTTCCTGTTGATGCTAAAAACTTTTTGCCGTTGGAGCGCTTGTACCTCGGAAATTATGGACTTCTAGCAGGCGGGAATGATGCATGATGTCCTGCATCAGCAGTAGGATTTTGAGGGAAGAGCTCAGGCTTCCGGGGGATGATACAACAGCAACGATGCAGAAGGCCAACCCAGACCCCTGATTAATCAACCCCCTCCATCCCCCTCCCCTTCATAGGGATTATAATGGGGATCCTTATATTCAGGTCCTTAAAAGGAAGGAGTTTATTAATCATGGGTCTACAGTACTGCTGTTGGATGGGTTTGTAGCTTGAGGTGAAGGTTTACATATTCGCATTCTAGGGCTTAGGGTTTAGGGGTTTATATAAGGTTTAGGGTTTAGGGCTTAGGGGTTTATATAAGGTTTAGGGTTCAGGGGTTTAGGGGTTTATATAAGGTTTAGGGTTTAGGGGTTTATATAAGGTTTAGGATTTTAGGGTTTAGGGTTTAGGGCGTAGGCCTTAGGGCTTCAGGGTGTGGGATTCAGAGTTTGGGTTGGTAAAAGTTTTGGGGATGTGGCACTTTAGGATTTTGGAGTCGTGGCTTGCGCCCACAGCCCCGCAGTGTGCACGACAAAAAGGATTTATTAGTGTTCATCCCTGCTAGGGGTGGATTCAGAAAAAATGTCTAGGATCGCTCGATTGTTGGAGGTTTGCCTTGTTTGGTCCTAAAGGAGGTGTTTAGCACTTAGGCCATAAGAGGCGCTGTTAGCTGTTGCGACATTCCGGCATTGCACGCCGGCACAGCTACACGGTCGGGCAGGCCAAATTGAAAACGGTTCGGTGTCCAAGTGACTCAACATATGAAGAAGTTCCAACAATTCGTAACCCTTTGTGGGTGCCTGCAATGAGAACCCAACATCTGGGCCCCGATCGCATCACCCCCCACCTCAAAATCCTTAATTATGAGTGATGCCTTTGCTTCTGTAGACCCTGCATGCCTGAACTCCTCACCGCAAAGCCCCAAAAACTCGGAACTCTACAACCTTAGACGTGTTCAAGTGTCCAGCTTGGACGAGGACGAAATGAAATGAGTGATGAACTCAATGCACATCAGGGCCTTGGCTTCAGGCTCAATACTAAAGGCAGCCACCACACCAAGAGTAAGTTGTGACCCAAACGGGATATTTAATATTCGGCGTGGCGGGGCGTGCAATATCGGGGAAGGGAGTTAATCCTGGATCTTGTGGGACCAGGCGTTCTTCAAAGAATGACGGGAGCTGTCGCATGGTGCTTCAGGGTTTGGGGTTTAGGGAAGTTCCTCAGAATGTTTCTGCAGTCCTTATCTACGCACGCATCATCCTCCTTCCATCCCTAGTTGTCCGGGCGGAGCGCCTAAGGCCGTCTCTGTGATTTGAGAAGCTTCCTCTGTTGACAGCATTCACAGGTGGCTCTGCCAAGAGTTAGAGACTGAGATTTCTCCGAGCAGCTTACGGAGTTCGGTTCGCGGTGATTTTGTTTGTGAACAACGCTGCACGGTAATTACACTCTTGCCTTGCACGCTTAACCCTCGCAACCTCACCTTGCCATCCGTTAATAGATCCTACCTACAAGACAACCTTCAAAACGGGCAAACGGCAAACCCAAATCCTAAAAGCGCCTAAAGTCTTGAGGTTGGAAATTCAACTTGTAGCCGAGAGTCTTTTTCTGAAATGATCTCTATATCTAGTCCCCAGATACCACCCTCGAAAAGTACCTGCGTACATATGCCCCCTTACGCGCTAAAGCACAAACAAGAACTCTGAACCCCCAAACGTCATACGAAACCTTGAGCCCTACACCCTCTACACCTAGAAGCCCCGTGATCTCTAGCCGCATACTGGAGCATAACTCTAAACACCCCGAACCTCAAGTGCAAACCTGGGCCTTAAACCCTAAACTCAAAGGCCCTAAGCGGAGTCGCCTCGATAACAAGCTGTATGTAAGCCTCCGTGTCCTTGGTGAAGAACGGCTCTGAGCCAGCTTGCCAAATCCTGGGCTCTGTTACAGGGCTTTGGGTTTAGGATGGGGGATTGGGGTTTACGGAGTTCGGGCGTGAGGGTTTGGTGGGTGGGGTGTAGAGATGTAGGGCTTCGGGCTTATGCTACAGCTTGGGATTTAAGGCTCGTGTCCACTGTTGAGGGTTCAGTTAGTATTCAGCGCTTACATCGGCTGTAGGATTTTGCATTTAGGCTTAGCATGTAGCAGTCAGGGTTCAGGAATAAGAAAGTAGGGTTTGAGATCTATGTAGGGGTTAAGCTTCAGTGCTGAGTTTGGGGTTCGGATCGAGGGAAGGAGCTGAGACGGAGATTCGCTGAACAGCTATGACTGAGGCCCACTAAACTGCCCCACTCAACAGCCCTCCAACCCGGAATCCTACTCAAACCAGCCCATGTTGGAGCTGTAATTACCCCACCCTGAGCCCTGAACCTAAAACCTTACATAGTTGGGCTCCCAGCTGTCTAAATGCTGTTGATGAAGAAACTCCTGCATGACTCTGAATATTCTCGCCTATGATCTTGGGCTCCGCCTCCGAACTGCTCTCAAAATGGAGGACACCCACATAGAAACCCCTACTATGAAGGGCTCCCAGATATGCGGGAGGGCATCCAAAACTTGGAGCCATATGAACGCCCTAAACCCGAAACCCTAAACCCCATAGCCTCATGTGGGGACCCTTTCTCTGCTACTTTGCAAAGCTTCATCCCCTCAACCTACTCCCTGTGCCAAGATGCGTGAAGAGGATTGTCGCTGTAATTAAATAATTCCTGGGCCGGTACTTGCGCGATCTAGGGTTTCGTATCGGGTGTTTAGGGTTTAGAGGCTTAAGGTTTAGGGTTTAGAGGTCTCAGGTTTAGGGTTTAGAGGTTTAGGGTTCGGAAAAGAACTTGGAGAGGCAAGGCGCACGTATCTTACTCGGAGCGCAATTTGGAAGATTTCAAAAAACAAAGACCCCCCGTTATACATCCCCGAACACTCTCATTCTTACTATAGGAACCCCAAACTAGGACCCCATATTTTTGGAAGGGCTCTGGGTCGCTTTCTGAGGCTCTTCAAGCACAAATCTAAATACCACGACGAGGTGACAGAAACATGCATCTACGAATCTTCAGGGTCATGAGTTTGTGCCTTCTGACTGTGATCAAAGCATTGTACTACATAGGTCTAGATAAAGAATGTTTCTCCAGCCAAGAGCCTATGCGATTTTTTTTTCAAGTGGCCCTGAAAAATGCGTGGTCCTTGCACCGATTCCCACCAATTTCCCAACAACATCCCTAAACCTTTGATGCTGCAGCCAACTCAAATAGTGTTCTGAACCCCAAACACTCAACAACAATATGCCCTGAATCCCCAACCCACAACCCTGTCAACCCCAAAAAAACAAGACAGAGCATGAGATTCGTTGTTAGCGCGTACCATCGGGCAGCAGGACTGGAGTCCGGATCCTTCGTGCAGAGTGGTCCAAGACATGCATTAGGTGGACCCCCCACCCTGGTATAGTGACTGCATCAGGATTATGTCCGTACCACTATTACAGGGTGGGGATTCCACCTAAGACATACATACAGGCATTTCTCAAAATTGGGGGGGGGCTCAAACGGATCAGGCCGCTGGCCGGGATTATACAAACTCTATGTGGATCATTTTGGAGGTGGGAGCATCATCTTTAAGGAGTGTAGGGGATTTTTAGGCAGCTTTACTGTTGTTGTTTTCAATTCTGCATGACGGAAAAGTCACTGGAGCTTCTGGATGTGTAGTAGTTCCGCATTTTCTGGTTCTGCTAGCCTACACCAAACAGGACGCGTTTGAGGTTCAGAGCCCGTTTGCACGTCGCGCGGGGTTGAGGTTCACAGTTGAGGGCTCAGAGACGAGGGTTTTGAGTTTGGAACTTTGGGTTGGAGGTGTTGGGCTTGCATTACAGGGAAGAGTACTGCGCCTGCTGTCAATGTAGAGCCCATACCACGATCTGGAATTTCGGATCTCTGCGGACTATACATTGACCCCGAACCTTAAAACCTGACCACCCTGCCCTAAAACATCAACGTAGCGTGGTCATCCGTCATACAACAATCGGCCTATACTGCTTTCATATGAGAGCGAAATCTTTAATGTACCGCAAACACACACCATCCCCAAAACTAGCAAGGAACCCCATATTTATCTAGATAGATAGGTAGATGGATACCCGTGTGAAGGCGTGGTAGTCTTTGTACGGCCCTTTTTAGGGTGCCATGCTAGATTGGGGAAGAGCAGACAGTTGAGATGTCGTCGCCTCAAGGAAGAGCCACACTCGCGACACCGCCGGCTCCCTCCTGGATGGCTTACCAGGTGTACTAGGTTTAGGGTTTAGGGTTAGGGTTTGGGTAGAGCAGAGTAGAATAGAGGATAACATCCTATTATCATTCAGAAAACAACACCACACCATCCAGATGGGCTGCTGGATCCGACATCTAACCCCAGGCCCTACACTAAATCGTCTTCTGGTAAGCTACGCGTCAACCTGCTGATCGAAAGCCCGAGCATGGAAGGATTGCTTGCCCGCTCTTTGGA